AGCTGGTCACAGTCATTAAACTGGATGACAAAGCATTTTAGCACACTGTCTTCCATCCATGATAAGCAATTCTTCAAATCGCCATTAGTCCTTCTCTCAAGTCCCCCTATTTGTCTGCCCTCTCCCTCCTTTTGCTGCAGTCTTCCTTGTTACAAAGTTAATGTATGCACCCAAATTGCCCACGCACAACACGTCCATCAATTCTATTCCACACTAAAATCGCTGTGACCCCACAAACTCCCCATTTCAAAATGCAGATCCTCAGATAACATTTCATGCATCACGGCACTCAACCTCAAACTTATCTGTCAGCATTTCTAACATTATATATATCGGTTTCACCGATCTCAGAACCCTCCAGGGAGGCGATGGCCTCGTGGTATTGTCGCTAACCTATTAATCCAGAAGGCCCAGTTCCAGTCCTGCCGTGGTGAAATTCAAGTCAGCAAAAATGTTAGGATTAAGAATTAATGATTATCACGAATCATTTGACACTAAAAGGTCCTTTAGGGAAGGAAGCTGTAGCCTTCACCTGGTCTAGTTGAGCTGACATGTGATGCCAGACCCATAGCACTGTGCTTGACAACTTTAGGGATGGGGGACCCATAACTTCATGCATGCGCAGTATTTTCTATTTAGTAAAGTTCCTCCAGCGCTCCTGAATGAAACAGAATGATAGTTTGTAGAATGCCCCATTTAGATTAAAAGATGGAGAAAATCTCGCACGGAGTTGGAATTGGAATAATCCACCTTGTCTGTAGGTCAGTGGAATAAATCCAACTGATAAGTATAGTCAGTGTAGAAACGATGAATATCTCTAGAAGTGAGACAGTGCGACTACGGTGTCAATGAAATGAGCAATTTGCTATCAATGTCCTGGTGATGCCTTGCCTCTGAAAGTTTGACGTGAAGAGTATTAATGTGTTACATCTGTATGAGTTTGCCAACTCTTTTTGATACTTCTCAAGTTGTGGATATGATTTTTGACGAATAAACTAACGAGCATGAGGATCTAACAGGAAAAGTATTCGTCATCTCAGGTGACAGACTATTGCCCAATTGGAGATGTTTCTACTCTCGAACAGGCAGATGACCACCTTTCAGTCTTACAGCAGACAATAACACATAACAATTAGGTGAAAACATCCAAAGAATGAAAACAGATTATTCATTGTGAAGTTTAGAAGGAATGTCTTCATATACCACCCTCCCTCTTTACATAGCAGGCAGTGACAGCTTGATGCCCAGCATTTACTTTGAGCGTGATGCATTCCTGATAGGGCATAGTTAGCAAAACATCGTTTCCCAAATCGTTTAAATCCGATTTTTGAACACCCATCACTCCCTTCATTTTTTGTTCAAACCTGATTTTTCAAAATATCTGTGCCATGGCAATTCGATCACTCAGCTGTTCCCCTCAGATGTTGATGCAGAAGGACAAGCGGTGTCTCCAAGCTACACCCATGATGAGTTACAATATTTTCCGCTGGTATTAGCAACAGCCAGAGTCAGTAAATGTAAAGCATAGCAGTGGCGAAGGAAAAACAGATCGAGCTCCAGACTTCGACTGGAATCAGTAGTTTATCCATCTCTCACTGCAGTTTCTGTCTATTACAAATCTTTGAGGCATGGAAAACAACCCTATCCGTGGGCAATTCGGACCTGAGATAGGTAGAGCTCTTGTCTTTAGGCGTGTTTTGTGGAATCATGGGCGGATGTAGTTACAATGTTCAATCCGCTGGCAGCTGCTCAAGCCAGCACCATGCTGGATCCAAATTAACACAATTTCGAACAATCACACGACTGCTTCCTGCAGCAAGTCTGAAAATGATGTGCAACATTCACTCAGCCTGACCGATCCATCATAGAACCAGATGTGAGGAGAACGGCTCTCATTTCCACCTTCAATAATTTGCTGCCATGTCTCTGGAAGATCTCGTCTCAACACCTGTGCCTCTCTGGGACTGCGAAATCTTCAGTGGGGACCTGACTACACTTGAGTAGCAATGTGATAAGCAGGGTTTCAACTGGTGTCCTGAGGCTTGAGAACGGGGTGAAGGTGAGTGTTGCTGATATCCTCTTTTGTTAATCGTCATCTGCAAAATCCAGACTGTTAACCGTGAAATGGAACGTTCCAGTAATATGGGAACATTATTGAAGATCAGTGATCACTGAAGATAATCTGCATTTGGATTTTGTTTTCGGTATCACGGTCACTCCCTTGCAAAATCTGCTCACTGTGTATAAGCAGTTTCTGATCTCGCAACAGGCTCTGATCAACTAAACGTCGTGAACAAGATGGTGTCAAACCTTCAACGGAAATGGGTGATTGTTGTATAATATGGTTGGGAGGCACAGAAACTGCAACAAGGATCAAGTGTCATCGAAAATGATCGAACAGATTTATCAAAATCTGTTAATGGCATGTGATAACTAAAATCAATGAATATAAATTTGCGAGTGCTTCTCGCCGATGTCTGTTGAGTCTTGTTTTTTGCTGTGATTTTTAGGAATGTTCCTGAGCCCCATTATGGAGGCTGAGCAATCCCTCGGCTGATCAGTTTGAGGGGACCCTCTAGTGGTCCCTAGCCGGAACTCTTAAGGTGGGCTTTTGTACAGTATATGCTATGACACTGTCACGGAGTAAGGGCTTCAAGACAGACAAATAAACAAAGCTTTCAGAGAGAAAAGACCCACAGTTACTGAAAGGAACAGGTTTATTTTCTTTGTGAAGAACTGAATGTATCAGGATAGGCTCTGGCAGCGTAATCATCGACTAATGGCAGTCTATTTTTAAGCTTTCTCCCTCCCGCGCAGCTAAATCAGGCGGAGTTTGCGACAGTGAGTCATTGAAACTCGTGCCTGAGACGTGCGTGCACCATGTCTCAGCAGTCATAGTGCAAATATAACCCCTGAAAGACACGCCAGCTATTTAAGGCAAACTCACCAGTGAGCAATATCATTTATATCTGTAAATAATATATGTAGCACATGGTGCCTGGTTTGCTGAGAGGTGTCTCCTCGAGGCAGAATTGGCTGCTCTGTCAGAACAAATGACAGCTGAACACCAATCAACAAAAGCTGAATACTTTAATATCCTCTGATTATTTCTTTGATTTTATCAGTGCCTCTTTGTCTTTCTCTTGTTTACCTCGATCTCTAAGTCTCTGATAGGTGAACGTCTCGCTGAAACATGCATCCCCTCTACAGAAAATGTTTGGCAATGAGCACTATACAAATAATTCTGGGAATGAACACACAATTTGACAGATTGGACCAACTCCACCAGCAGGTGACGTGAATGCCATTGTGGAGTTTACACTTAGATTATGAGTTAAAAGTCCATCGCTAAATGTTCCTTCTGCATCTTTAAATCGGATGAAGTAATAATAACTAAAACCATTCGGAAAGGAAACCAAATCTGGACTGGATAATTAAGGAAAGGGAACATTCAGCAGGCATATAATTCAAGGCAAAGCAGTGACAGTTTTCAGGGATTCTGTGACAGCATTTCAGGAAAAGGCAAGAAATTACATCAGATTCAATGATTCCAAAATGGCAATGACTTTTTCCGTTGGAATTAGGACGGAGATCATTTATTCATGTAAAATTGAGTCGGCTATCATACAGTAAGAGAACAGTGAGTGTGAGAGAAAGAGAGAGGGAGACAAACAGAAAGAGAAGTGGGGGAGACATGGAGAGAGAGAGAGCATACTTTTTCCCTTGTTGTTTCAAAGGCTCCACATTTGGAGCAAGTCAATCACTGAGTATGGTGCCAAATGACGTCTATTGACAATGTCGCAAAATAAACCGTCGTTGAGGATTCCGCCAGTCAGAATCTCCCCGTACCATGAGAATCGAAAGTTCTCCCCTCTGCATCCCAAACACCACCATTGAGAGTCTTGGTCTCAGCAGCGCGTCCTTGTCCAAAACCAGAGCCTGATTGATTCGCCTCCTGTCTGTTTTCATCGTCATGAACTGAAAGACCTGCAATGACCTTTTCCCAGTTGGAGCTCTGATGTTCTTGATGTTTTGTGACTTTATTTTTCTAACCAGCCGCCTTGTTTCACCAATCCCGTAATATCTCCTAATTTTAAGTGACGTTTCTTTCATTACAGCTGTGCAGTGTGAGGAGCATAGCAGACAGGTAGAACAAGTAGTGTCTACAGAAGGCGAACGGGTTGAACTGGACTGTCAGCTCCTCCTTGGTACTGCAGACACGGTAGCCTGGCACAGACAAATACTGACAGGGGCTCTGACATTTATCCGTTCTATATACCAGGGCAATGAGTCTATAGGCCGCGACATGCTGTCCTTTGACAGAAGAGATAGATAGCTAGATAGATAGACAGACAGTCAGACGGATAGATAGACGGATAGATAGAAGGATAGATGGGTAGATAGATAGACAGATAGATAGATGGATAGACGGATGTATAGATAGATAGATAGATAGATAGATAGATAGATAGATAGATAGATA